GAGATTTGATATTGGTTTGCAGCGAATTAAACTTGTACTCATGTGTTATAACCTGTATGAACCGAAGGTTTTTCGTGATAATAGATTGAAGTTTGTGCCAGTTTCATTAAATTCCTCTTTAGGGCAGCATGAACCTTGTCAAAATCGAAGAACAAATATATGGTAAATTCTAGTTCTGAGACTAAGGATATTATTAAAGCTTTGATAAATCTTCCTGGAAATAATTCTTCGAGAAAAAACATCAGCAATTTACAAATGGTTAACACGTTTCAAAGAAAAAGGAGACAAAGTTGAAGATGACGAATGGATCGGCAGACCGTTAACATCAATTGGTGAAGAAAAAAAGAAATAATGTTCTTTGAGATTTAATTGGAGTTGACTGATGATAAACAGTAGAAAAATTGCTAACACTCTTGACATCTCAATTTGTTTTTATCGGCAGAATTAAAGTTGAGCAAACTTTCTCCCCGTTGGTTACCGAAACTTACGCCCAAAACAGCAACAGAAAAAAAACTTTCCGTATATTTTTATCGGCTTTTATCAATTTTATTTTAATTCTGTTTATTTACCATATTAAAAAATAAATATTTTCAACCTCAATTCCCAACGAATAAATGTAATAAATCAAATAAGGATAAATTTCCACACCCAAAAATATTTTTATCGGCTTTTATCAATATTAAAAATATGAAAAAATATTTTCAACATCAATTCCCAATTAAAAATGAAATAAATCAATGTTGTGGAGTGATTTCACAGTGGAGGCTTGTATTTGTACTAAGCCGGTCCTAAAATAGGTTCGGTGTACAAAACGTTAGGAACTTGATATAATAGGTATAGCGCCGAGTAATCTAGTTGTGGTCGCTGATACTTTAGTATCCGACTAACTGTCGTACTGAATCGACTGACTGAGCTGACTGACCGACTGACTGAGCAACTCGTTACTCTTACTACTCCTACTTATAGATGGGAGAGTCTATTAACTATAGAATAGGTGTGTTCCACTATAACAATCAACTAACGATAAATTTTCCTCAAAAAATATTCTGGCCCCGAATTTACTTTTATAAGATATAGTGTACTCTTTTTTTATTTAAGTTAGTAAAGGTTTTTAATTATATTGAAAACTATTTATTGTACTATGTGATTGTTTCTTAAATTAAATTGAAAAATTAAAAATTAATTAGAATTATTTTTAATCAATTATGATTAAACAATAGTTTCTGGTAGAATAATGTAAAGTTCAATAAATGCCATTGAATGGGAAGTTTTTGTTTTTATTTCCCCTCCCGTGACCAATGTACACATATCGGTATGCTGATGACATAGGTATTCATATGTGTATACTAATGACATGGGTATCCATATGAGTATGCTGATGATATATGTATTTATATGTTTATGCTGATGACATAGGTATTCATATGTGTATACTAATGACATGGGTATCCATATGAGTATGCTGATGATATATGTATTTATATGTTTATGCTGATGACATAGGTATTCATATGTGTATACTAATGACATGGGTATCCATATGAGTATGCTGATGATATATGTATTTATATGTTTATGCTGATGACATAGGTATTCATATGTATACTAATGACATGGGTATCCATATGAGTATGCTGATGATATATGTATTTATATGTTTATGCTGATGACATAGGTATTCATATGTGTATACTAATGACATGGGTATCCATATGAGTATGCTGATGATATATGTATTTATATGTTTATGCTGATGACATAGGTATTCATATGTGTATACTAATGACATGGGTATCCATATGAGTATGCTGATGATATATGTATTTATATGTTTATGCTGATGACATAGGTATTCATATGTGTATACTAATGACATGGGTATCCATATGAGTATGCTGATGATATATGTATTTATATGTTTATGCTGATGACATAGGTATTCATATGAGTATGCTGATAGAAGAACGATATCTCTCCACAAGATTGTACATGGGGGTGAGGATCTTCATAACCAATTATTTCAAACCTCATCAGGAGTACGAAAATATGGAAGTGGGTGCCCTAATCTATTAATAATTAAAGCATTCACATCCGAAATGAATCTACATAAAGAAAACGATCTTCTTGTTTCCTCTCATATGGGAATACTGATGACATGGATATTCATATGTGTATGCTGATGATCTAGGTATTCATATGTGTATGCTGATGATATAAATATTCTGATGGGTACGTAGATGACATAGGTATTCATATGTGTATGCTGATGATATAAATATTCTGATGGGTACGTAGATGACATAGGTATTCATATGTGTATGCTGATGATATAGGTATTCTTATTGGCATACTGAGGATATAGGTATTCATATGTGTATGCTGGTGATATTGGTATTCATATTTCGGATAAGAATGACTGAAGAATATATAAATATCCTCTATTAAGTATTCCAAAATAAAGAACTGAAGGTAAACCTTTCCAAAACAGAAACTATAATCTGGAATTGGAATGAAAGCAGTGATGGCCTGAATCAAGCATAAAATGTCAGGATGTGGAATTAGTAAATACTTAACTTCTGTAATGTTAACGAACACTCGTTGCTACATTCGTAATGTCAACGAGTACGCGTTGTCACTTTCGTAATACTCTTTGTAGTAGAGACTTTGCAATCACGGATACAACTAAAATAATGCCGTTGAACAATGGCTTCGAATATCACTCGCACTAATAGTAATTGCTCGAAAAGTAACCACCGAATAGTGATCCGAATAGTAATCCGTAAAGAGATCACTTAGACGCCACGCTAATTGCCATATATATATATATATATATATATATATATATATATATATATATATGTGTGTGTGTGTGTGTGTGTGTGTGTGTGTATATATATATATATATATATATATATATATATATATATATATATATCACGTTACCATCATGCGATCTACTTATTCAAAATACCATCACCCGCGTTTGCTCTCTGGTGATCTGTGTTCAAACTGCAGTGTCGGCAACGACACTTTATTCATACATAACATAAACACTTCAAGTACGTCAGTGAGTGTCTGGAAAGTATCTTGAAACAATACGACGAGTTGATTTAAGCTTTATGAGTGAAATTAGATGGACAGAAGTGTTCGGCGATGGTTGTGCTAGCACGAAATTACAAGTCATCGCGATCGAGGTATGAATGTACTGGATTTTGTTCTAACTATGGATCACTCTAGTTGATTCGCTCTCTTCCCAAAACTGTAACTAAAGTCCGTTAAGTATAATTCTGTTATACTTTTCTTACAACGTGGTTCAACCTGTACAAATCCGGGGAGCCACT